TTAAAAATCATGTCTATAGCCCGAGTTCCCATCCCCTGTTTTTTTTATATAAGAATATTCGAGAAAGTTTATGGGAGATCACTCCCGGTTTTTTTTATTTTTAGTTTAATTAACAACTTAAAAATAATAATTTTCATAGTGTAGAAAACTGAAAACTAGCAGTTACAATTGGCTTGAAAAGTCGATATAATCATAATAATTTTTAAAAATATTTTTAAAACTATGGCAGGGGATAAAATTATAGTTATATTATGCACTTCTTAATTTGGCGTTCACTTGGTGTGCAATTCTTTTGTCTACGAGATTTTATTCTATTTTAAAAACTTTAAGTATTTAAAATGGATTAAAAATCATGTCTATAGCCCGAGTTCCCATCCCGTGTTATTTTATATAAGAATATTGTGTATTTTGTCAATGAAAACAATTATTGTGACTTTAATTGTTTAACTCTCCCTGGCCAATCCGGTTGTCTTTAAGGAGAGGTTGAGGCGGTTTTTTTTTTAAATTTTGAATTGATAAAATAATTTTAAACGGCTTTTACTCGGCTTATATTCAATACAACAAAATGAAAATGAGTGTAATCGAGGGTTCCAAAACAACTTTTAAAAAATATAACTATAATTTTATCCCCTGCCATAATTTTAAAAAGATTTTAAAAAATTATTATTATATCGACTTTTCAAGCCCATTGTAACTGCTAGTTTTCAAACAGTTTTCTACTCTATGAAAATTATTATTTTTAAGTTGTTAAACTAAAAAAACAACAAGGAGATATTGATTTTAAACAAATCTTTCTAGATTTACTCTTGAAAGAGTAATGGTTTAAACAGGCTACTTACGAGACTTCTTTTTGGCTGTGTTGTGATGGTTTTATATTTTAAATTGTTTGTTGTTTTGTGTGATTAATTGTTTTGTGTTCTCGGCCCATAGGGTGTCTTGTTCTTTGTTTTTCTACAGACTAATGTTTGAATGTATTTTTCACTTTAGAGAAGCAATGTCATATATATATGGTGGCTTTTCTGGCCGCTACCGCTAATCCGAAAATATCTGTATGCGTCTCTGAGTTAATGTTTCATGTTTTTTGTAATAGATGTGTGTGACCTACTTAGGTCGAGTCAGGTTCCATTTTTATTTCGACATTGTATAATACCTTATATGGAATGATTGTGCAACACGTGGCAGTCTACAGGGCGATTTTACCTTGGTCAGGCCGTCTACCTTGATCAAACAGTTATTTAGACAGTGTAGAAATCTGTGATAGTGTTTTTCCTACTTTTGTAAGTTGTGTTTTTGATATTTTATACATTAAATATTTTAACTAGTTCAACCTTGTGTTTTGCCACAACTGAGTTCGCTGATTAAAGTTGTATGTAGATTGGATGAGTGTTAATTACAATAGTATCACTAGTTTACCCTAGACATTGAATTCGAGCCTTAGTGTGCCGTTGTATTAGTGTTCATCCACTTAGGCCGTAAGGCATTTGCATATGACCCCGAAAAAAGAATCCGGGGACGTTCTCCTTCTATTTGGCTGATAGATAGGGGACGTTACATGTGACAAAATATTCCTGAAAAATTACGAAATAAAATGCATTTTCAATATAAGGAAAATATTTTTTTAATGCTTGCTGAGTTTCAAGGCTCAAGGTATGTAATTATTGTTCCTTCTATTCTACGATGTCTAATGTTTTTACATTCTGTTAATGTTTCAGAAAAATGATAAATTCATAATTCTGGATGTTTACGAAACTGATCATTTAAAAATTTAGTTTAATATTTTTGTTTCACTTAAATCAACCAATCATATATCAGACAAATTTTTACCGACCCTCCTCTGTATCAACACTTACGCGCGCCGAGTCGCCATATCCCTCGCTCTCTACACATATCGCTACCACCCCCATTCCCACCAGTCTGGTGAGCTGTGGTACTCGCGAAATGTTTACAATCGAAGAGGCGGGTCGAATTAGTGACGGCTATTAGGCGCAGTCAATAAAAAAAAAACTATTTGAAACTAAGGGGAGGTAATAACAAGTTCTGCTTGATATTTTTCATTGTCATCAGTAAACTGTCTATACGGTCGGCTGCTTTCACAGGGGCTGGAGAGGGGAGGGAGTGGTTGAAAGTTAGGGTGAGGATAATCGTTCATCACGAGCTACTGATAGTGTTTAAAAGCAAAATATCTTCTGTCGCAGCATTGGTAGTGTCAAATTCACAAATTATAAATTAGAGAAAAGTAGAAAATAAAACAACTAAACAGCGGCGTCGAGCCGGCTCGTCATTTATAATTTAAAAAAATAAAATATAAAAAAATTAAATAAATAAAATAAAAAGCTTTTATCTGCACCGAAAATAAGAAAATAAGACAAATCTTCTTTCTTTAATTTAAGCTATGGTCACTCATTGAAATCTTCAACATATTTTAGCGACCAAAGCTTTTATTTTAGGGGGAAAGTTAATTTTGTTTTCTTGTTTTCAGTGCATTCAAAAGCTTGTTATTATAAGGGTTTTATTTTGTTTTGTTTTAAAATGTATAGTCATTCGCCTGAAACAAAAAGCTGACACTAAATAGGAGAGAGCAACACACAAAAATTGTTTGTTAAACCAACCAATTGCTTGTAATCTTTAAAAGACAGTCATCTGTCCCTTAGTCTTACAGGGAACCACTTGTCATGTTGAGCTTTGCAAATCACGAAGCAATCGATGTGTGATTTGTCTGTCTTGATAGTCGGCAGTAAAAACTGAAACAAAGGAGAGGAGTTACGTCACTATACCAAAGGTTTTTTTTATCATGAGCTTTACCTACTCGACCGCGCGAACCACCTTGGGTATTATTTCAGGCCATTTCGTGATAGAGAAGCAATGAGAATAGTTATTAGGTAGCTATTTATCATACAGTCTGAAGTGGTTCAATGGTCGACCGGGTTATAATTAATATGTTGGAGAAATATGTTTAGATAGCCAGATTAGGGTATAACTCTCTGCATTGTTTTAAGATTGTTCTCTCTCTTTGCACATCAGTGGTGACATCACTACACAAAAGACTTTCAAAAAATATTCCGAATCAGCAAAATATAAAGGACAGCGTTAGTAAACATTTTATCTAAAATTTAATTGCAAGACATATAATTTTAATTGATGAGATTTAACCTATTATTCAGTTTTTATAATTGATTTGTTTCAAGCATGATATTGTGTTGATCATGATAAATCAAGGTTTTCCCATCATGAGCTTTACCTACTCGACAGCGCCAACCACCTTGGGTATTATTTCCGGCCATTTCATGATAGAGAAGCAATAAGGATAGTTATTAGGTAGCTATTTGTAGCTATATCTGAAGTGGTTCAATGGTCGACCATTTTTTTTTCGGTATTCTTAATATGTTGGAGAAATATGTTTAGCCAGATAAAGGTATAAACCAACTATGCATTGTTTAATGTTTGCTGTATCTCTTTGCAAATCAGTGGTGACGGAGGTTCGCCTTTAATTTATTAAAGATTAAGGATTGCCTCAGCTCGTTATGATAGTTTGACATATCCCATGCAGTATATATCCACATTTTCAATGTCGGTCTTATGGTATGTCGCCTAATAGCTTGTCTTCCTTATGTTAGGTTTACCTCTATTTTTTTACAATCTGTTGCGTCTGGTGTAATGTGGTAAAAACCAATTTGCTAGCATTTTTCCATCTATTAATCAATGTGTTATTATCTTTAACTACATGATGAACGTTGTAAAAATCAATATGTAATTTACCGTAATTGATTTCTTTTGCAACGATCAACTCGACATCGTTTGCTTTAACTTCAGCGTTTGTAATCCAGTCACCGACACTGAAAAATCTGGAAGTATCACGTGTTGTTGACGTGGTACTGATGACCGGATATAGTTGTCTTTTGTTTAATTTCCTTCGGCCATCTTTGTTCTACGTGTTAAAGAAAAGTGGGTAGCAACACATTTTGAAAACCTGTACTAGTGCACTAGGCAAATTCTCCTGTATATTTTACTCGTTTTATTTAAAATGTAACCGTCATTAAAGTAAAACTAAGAATTCTTAATATACAAGTTGCGATACTTTATCTAACAGAGGCATCAGTTGACAGTTTTAAAAAATCCAGTTTAGTATAGATGCATTAAAGATTTGTGTCTATGTTATGTAATCAAAGTGATAACTAAAATATAAAATCACTTAATAAATTTCCAGGTTAATTAATGAAAAACTCAATCTATTTTTTTGTAGACGTCGGACCTCTAGCGATACAATGATGCTTTATCATATGCTCTTTGTATTTCTGTCAATTATCCTTTCCTTGGGTTGTGTGGACACTTATCAGATCCAGACCTTCGACAACAGCACATTTCACCACACAAAATGGTCGTTTGCTGATGGTAAAACAAATGTAAGTGTTCATTAATCTGACTTTGTTTTCTTTAGTTTATGACTTGGTTTTTGTTTAAAGCATTTGGTCAAAATTTTATAGAGCTGAAACTTTTTCCACTTTAAGAGTAAAAATGCAGCTCCAGACAAAAATATAAACCTAATCGGTTTAGGCCACACCAAATTCTAGATTTTATAAAAGAAATTCGTTTGGAGACGACATAAGACAAAAAGAAATGAAAAATCAATATCGAAACAAGAAGAATGACAACAGTATATATATATATATATATATATATATATATATATATATATATATATATATATATATATATATATATATATATATATATATATATATGTATATATATATATGTATATATAATACATATTAAATTACACATATTACATATTATATCTTACATTTTGTTCATTTGATCAGATAAATAGTTTGTTAACGAAACTATTACACAAAATATCTGTCATATTTTTATGATCACGTTTTGTTTTATAACACTACCAAAACGTATTCTGAGCTTTGATACAACAACAATTTGTCACGACGAACACAGTTGTCTTAAAAATTGTGTTGTGACTTCTAATCTGATCGTAATCTACGCAGTACCCAATCCCTTACTCTGGGGAAATTCGTTTTCCAATGTACGACGGGAAAGAGGTTATCATTGAAGGAGTGAGAACGTCTTCATCGAACAGGTGACTGCATCGTATTTTATTTATTTAAGATGAAAATTTCCTATTCCTACAGTTTAGGCAGTGTGTTTTAGATTATGTTAGGTTTATACTTAATTTAATGGACCCAACGTTTTTCATGAAATGTCCGTCTATTATTGTTATCATGTATAAAAATCGTGTTTTTGTCAATCATTTTTTGCCTTTATAGCAACCATTCAAAAAAATCTAAAACCTGAAAGAATATACCAAATTAGTAATCGTTTAAGAATCTATGTTATAAAATTTATGCAGAGGATTTAGAAACCGTTTGATTCCGTCTAATGATTAGTTTCAATTTATTTTGAAGTTATTTTAAAGTTATTTAAAACGTATTACAAAAATAGTGTTTTATCTTGCACACGTTCTGGGAAGCATGTTGAATAACTTTGGCCTTTTTTAATTTTTACAGTATGGTATATGGTACAGAATGTGAGACTAAGACTGTGAAATTATAATTAAAATATGGGCGTAGACCCGTTTTGTATTCATACATTTTAACGTACGTTATATGAGATTCAGAATACATGCATTACATTGTAATAATATAATTGATATAGGTTCATAGTTGTGTCAGAGAGCTGAATGCAGCGATGACCAACAAATGTATATGAGTGTTTGGAAGAACACAGGAAAAGTTCAAATTAGTTCTATAAAAAACTACACGTGGGGGCAGGAGTTATTGTTTAATGTCGCTTAACTAAACCTTTGAAGAATATATCGGAATAGTAATCGTTTAAGAATAAATGTTATAAAAGTTGCAGAGAATTTAGAACCGGTTTGACTTCATCTACTGATTAGTTTCATTCTTTTTTAAAGCTATTTTAAAGTTATTTAAAATGTATTTTAAGTTTTAATTAACACAATTTTTTATTGATACCGCAAACCAATTTTAAAAAAAATGTAATTGAATATTCGAGATTATTCGTGGTTGGAGACATTTAGAAAAATGAATAAATTTCTACGTTAAAAATAAAGTTGGCAATTATTAATGTGAGACTAAGACGGTGAAATTTGAATAAAAATCATGGGCGTAGACCCGTTTTGTACTCATACATTTTAACGTACGTTATATGAGATTCAGAATACAATGCTTTACATTGTAATAATATAATTGTTCTAGGTTTATAGTTGCGCTGTGCGAGAGTGCTAACTGCAACGCTGACCAACAAATGCATATGAGTGTTCGGAAGAACACCGGACACATTCACATTAGTTCTAAAACAAACAACATTTGGGGACCGGAGTACACGTTTGAAGCCTCGTCACTAATGACTGGAACTGAAATTAAAATAAAACTCATAATACATGACATCAAGATTAAGGTAACTAATTTTTAAATGATTACACAAGGTTGACGATTTTAAGATTATTTTAATTAGCGTTTTTAAACGATTACTTTTAGTTGAACAGGCTTAAGTCTAATGATAATTTATTTTGTATTCACCAGATTTACTTTAAAGACGTTTTCCTTACAGCCTTGAGTCTACGAGGTGTAAACAAAGAAACAATTAAATACGTATCAGTGCGTGAGGGTATTTTTGTGGAATGGATACTGTACAGTGTATGTACCTAATGCAGTATAATTATACGGTTTAAAAAATAATCTTTAATATTGAATTCAAAATTCAAAATTCAAAATTCAAAATTTAAAATTCAAAATTTTGCCACACTACCGTTCAGCACATCCCAGGTCGTGTTTTATGAAAGGCCTGAGTGTAGGTTAATCCCTCTCCGTAATAGTGTGGTAGTGGTAGAATACACTACGCAACCTCCCCGATATTAGGGACATAGTAGGGCTGCTCGGGGGCCCCGATTACACTACCGTAGGGGTCTCGCGTACGGGCCCTGGTTCGATTTATCATCGAAAGTCGTGTGCCAATATGGTAGGGGATGGGGGGGGGGGTCAGGTTTACTACTTACTTCTACGGTAAAACTGCACCAGATGCATCAGCCGGAGTTACGACAGCGCGGTGAGCAATATGGCGCCTACGTTCGATTTAAAGAGTGGAATAAACTAATGATACTATTGGCTACTATCAGGGGTAAACTGGTTGAGTCCAAGATGCCCGTTTTTAAGGGACCCAACCCCCCCCCCCACTCTAAGTTAGAATTTTCATTTCGCATTTCTCCCCCCCCCCCCCCACCATCAAAGCCTGAATTTACGCATCATTAGAAAGACTTTGAACGGGATGTTTATCTGGGTGCCCACCGAAATATTTCCTGATAGACCGGCGGGGCAGTCTACAACTGGCTACTGTAATTGTTTAATACATTGAATCAGGTGCGTCCGTCCGAGATTGGATTACCCGTAGCACCATGGGCTACTTGTGATCACTATGGTGCCACATTAGTTTTAAACAGCACCCATCGACACTGCGGTACTTTAACCAGTTTATTTCGAGAGCGCCCCCACGTAAACCCTGAAACTTGAACGGTTGCAGGGGGGGGGGGGGGAGAGTGTGAACAAACCCGCGCTCAAACATCTCAGATCCAATATAGCACAAGCGCGGTTAACACTCGAATAACTCAGTTTCAGAAAAACATGGTCTAAAATTTCACCTTTGGTAACGCATTGATGAAATCCTCTTGAAATATTGTGACAGCTTGCAGTAATCCGCGCGACGGGCACGCTAGCATCCTATTTAATAAGTGGCTTATTTCGTCTGGGCGCTCTCGGAAACCATCATTTACACTACTGAAGTCGCCGAGTACGCACCGTAGTTTGGCATAATCGTCGAATTTTGTGTCGCTATTGTAGGATGCTCTTTAAAACAGAAGTAGGCGCCAATAGTGCTAACAGGGGAGACCGCGGTGCTGCAGTCACCCGATCGCCGAGTCGCTGGAGGACGCACCTGATTTGATTTAGTCAGCGATTATAGTAGCCCATTGTATCCGTAGTGTATCAGATTCTTAAATCTAACTTAGGGGCCGTGGTGCCCATGTGGGAGCTCGGGGCGCAAAATTCTACGAAATTCAACAGTACTCCTTAACGTATTGCTAATCATTATTTTAAAAACGGTAGTTGTGGGGGTGAATTAGAAGATCTTCCGCAAGTTGTGAGGGTGGGGAAAAACAGCAACTACCAAATGTGAAGGTGGGCTTGATGAAAATGATGAAGATCCAACACACACACACACACACATGTCCATGTCAAAATATAATGTTCTTTATTAAAATAGACACAATCAGCTTTTCACATAACAGGCCTATTCTATACTATCCACTACTACTACTAACTACGCACTCCCGTAACCAATCCTAACACTATCTATCTGTTCCCTAGCTCTACAAATTTCTGTCAATTCTCCTACCCTACCAATATATCAACTGCCTACCTAACTGCAGACCCACGCTTCAGTGGTCAGCTGACCGTCCCGCGTGACCGGCCAGCTCCTGTATTTTCATTGGTCTCTCTAACCAACTAGCTATAGCCTGTTTCTATTAAATTCTTCTACTTGACCTATCTGACATAATGTAGCGTCATCACAGTAGTCCCATTCCTGTTTTTGTGTCAGTATTTTTTAACTGGTAAAGTGAAGCAGCCAAATTGATATTTTTTACATGGCTAATTCCTTGATTATTCAAAATTCAACTAAAAAAATCTATTCACATATAAATCCATCTGTCATCAACTTACAAAGATACCTAATATAACCTTTATAGTATATATCTATATTCTACTTTAAAAAAGAAAAAAAAGATAATTGAAAAATAAAGACAAAAATAAAATATTAAGTAAAAAAAAACAAGTCAGTTAATCTGGCACAAACTTTGAGCTAATATTAGATTTAATCATTCCTTATGTTTTTGTTTCAGATAAACTTTCCTGTAAGTAAATTAAGGTTGACTGCGAATAAAATATTTGTTTTAATTAATACTACTATATTATATATTATATTTATATATATAGTTTATATACGCATCCATATATATATATATATTTATATATATATATATATATATATATATATATATATATATATATATATATATATATATATATATATATATAAATTTGAACCCCACATGAGGCGATACTGCTACGCCACTGATACAAAGTTAACTAAAACTACAAAAAAATATTTGCGAAGAATATTAAAGTGTCAAGTATATTCTTTAAAGATAAACATCTATATTTATTACAATTAACACGTTTGATATATTTTAAAAAATTGCTATTTATGTAGTCATGATCAGGAACTTTGCCGCATTTTTTGTTTTGTTTTTTTGTGTTCAGTATTAACATTTAATTTATTAGCAAAGGTATCCATACTGCATGAAATGTAAGGAAATATATGGGAAATAATGAACCATCCATATCTCTTTGCTAAAGAAAAGTAGCCCAATGTGAGTGCATGTATTTGACATGATAAAGAGATGCACATATGGGGGTGGTACAAAATAGTTTCAGTAAAAATACTTTCTGTTGTTGCCAACGCCATGTAGACCTTCATGGGAAACCAGAAATAAGCCACCTTTAAAAAAAAACATTTTTAAATTAAAATTTCTTTTCAAAATTAAACACATCATATTTATCATTGTTGCGGGTATAAACAAGTAATTCAAAGTAGTTCCATGTTAAATATTTTGTTAACATTAGGAAGTTATTTCAAAACATGTTTTTTTTACAGTACAGCAAGTAAATGTAAATTGTAACACATCTTAATCATCTTAGAGTTAATGAAACAAATATAAATATAGATGACAATTGACAAAAATATATTTTACTCATCCTATTTTGAGGAGGCTTGACAGCAAGAAGAATTAAATACTTATTGAGGACAGTGGCGGAACTAGAAAAAAAAGGCCCCCCCGCAGAATTTTTTTTTGGGCCCCTATATATATATATATATATATATATATATATATATATATATATATATATATATATATATATATATATATATATGGAAAACAAAGGTCGCACTAAATTAAAAAAAAAATGTATCCGGTACCCGAATAAATCAGAGGTTTTCCAACACACGAGCTGGCCCCATTCAGTTTTCCATGTGAGAAGCACGGACTCTCTAAATCTAGTACAACACTCCAAACTGACGCCGGTTTTTATGAGGCTTTCATCAAAACGTTACCAACCGTGTGCCCTGTTTTCCAGAAGTTGAATTAAATGTTAACAATGTCGGCAGTTCATTTCTTGGATCTTAGGGCGCGGGTTTGTCCACACTACCTACTAGACACGCCAAGGCATGCTGTAAGTCCTTCGGCGACGACCCAGGTGTCAGGGGAGTCACGGGGCTCTTGGAGCTACCGGTTACATTACTGCACGGGTGATGGGTGCAACAAATTGTTTCTTCCGGCAGAGCTCCCCCTCCCCCACCCCTCCTCCGAAAACAGTCTACCTAGGAAGAAACATTGGTGCGACACCTAATTAGATTTAGTCATCGAGTGTTGTAGCGAGACTTATTCCTAGTGTTGTGGGAACTTTTAAACGACTGTCTGTGGGGGGCCAACTTGCTCATATGTGATGCGCTCAGGATGACACTGACGCCGGTTGTATTCAAGTAGTAACCTCATCCGTTTATGCAGGATCACGGGGCGCTAAATCACATATTTCCGTTAGGAGTCCCCACTCCAATATGTACAAATGTTAGGCCTATGACAGAAACTTTTGCGGGGCTGTACTCAACAGCTTCCCAAGTTTTCATGGCGATTGGGTGAATGATGCAGTAATGCAAAATAGACAGAAAATGTTTTTCACGTGTACAACTGTATGTGGCCAGGTCACGCGTTGGATAACCTTCTGATTTAGGGGAGGGGGGGGGACTAACAAAAAGCCAGACCCTCTCACACCCCCACCTCAATGACGTCATTTATAAATAGTAATTGACTATTAATAATGTTCAATTAATTCTAAACGTAATTAATTTCTAAATAATTATATAAAAATAATCTTACCTGCCCTGTTTTGTGAATTAGATGTGCCTAATACTATGAAAGTAAATTAATATCTGTTGACTAGATCTAGATCTAGATCTAGTGCTGTCTAGTGTCTGACTAAATGTGCTGAAGTGTTGAATCGTACGGTTAGGAAGTAGTTCATAAACGATACTTGTGAGGTTGAGAAAGAGGGGTGGGATAGGGGTCGGCTCGGGAAAAAAACTTGAAAGCGACATCAAAACGCCTTGATCTATGTACGTCAGCATCGCCCATTGTAAAACTTACTCAGGGGAGATTATTCCAAGTATAGACTTTAAAAGTTTACTATGATATTTCTCGTAAAAGCAAAAACAAGTAACCGTATATAAAACTGAAGTTTCTAGTATAGTATTATATTATTTTTTTATTATTTGTAGGATGCAAGATACAAATTCAACCACTATCACAAACACATTAACATTGAAAATTGTACAAAGGATTTCGGGTCCCTTACCAATGCCGCAAAGACGAAAGCCCACTTCATATATAGCGGCTTTTCGTGCTATGGACTTTGTTGTTTTTTAAAAAGAATTTTGCCGACGACAGCGTGTGTTTGATTGTAGGGAAATAGAACTCGGCCTTGACAATGGTTAAAAAATACAACTATAAATAACTGTTTAAAATATGTAAAAAAAATTCGACAATTTTTGAACCCCCTTTTTGGTCCACATCCCCTGCCTAATCCGCGACAGTACACTTTGGAGGATCGGTTAAACAGTTACGTGTCCTCTATTTAGCTATTAAAGAGGTGGGGGGCAACGAGTCAAAGAAGTCATTCAAATTTGAAGAGTTGCCTATATTTTACACTGTAGTTTGTGTAATGGATTTTATCTGTTGCGGAAGAGCGTGGTATAGTTACTGTAAAATAAAGATAATCGTACCGCAGCTAGTGTTTTTCGTTTACAAACCAAATATTAAGGCAAAAATGCACGAAAATTAAATTCAAAATTTAAAAAAATATTAATTTTGGTCAGCCGTGGGCCCCTAAACGGCCTGCCCCCCCCCCCCCCCCCGCGCATTGCGGGGTCTGGCGGGACTGTAGTTCCGTCGCTGTTCATCAGGTAAATGAACAACTACTGACTAGTGTCTTTAACAAAATGTGCAGGAGTGGTCAGTTTACAGTTCAGTAGTTCATAGACGGTTCGTTAATCTATGCATTACATCTTATTGTAAGAGTAAGGGTGTGGTGAGGGGTAGGGGTGAGAGGGGGCAGGGGAGAGAGTTGGGAAGGTTCATTGGAAGGGGACAAGAAAGCGCCGATGAACATCTACATCAATAGTGCCGACTTTTTCCGGTCGTCTAGAAGACCAGGATAGTCGCCGCAACATTTCCCCAGCCCGATTTCAAAGCGTGCCGGCACAGTCAAATTTCAGATGCTTCGCTGAAGGGAGATAACTTAAACTTTTACAAGTTTATTGATACAGTTGTTAAAGTAAAAATGAACGCAGTTATAAATGTACGAGATCGAAATAAATAATTATATTTTTTGTAGAATTCAGGCCAGTAGTTTAAACACACAATCATAGATATGTATTTTAATAATGTAAACAATATAACAATGCTTTTTTGTTCTCCTAGTCGACGCCACTAAAAAGAACGGTAGGCTGCGTCTTTGAAGTTGACTTTATGTCTGGCGGTCTCTCGAGCTATAGTCTGTGCATTTTTATCAAAGACGTTTGCCGACTATCGTGTTTGTTTGTAACTGTAGAAGAAAGATAACTCGACCTCCACCTAATTTTTTTTTTTAAATTTTTTTTTTTAAATAATTTAGCCAGGATTTTTGGGCCCCCAATCGGTCTGGGCCCCCCCGCATTGCGGGGTCTGGCGGCACTGTAGTTCCGCCCCTGATTGAGGATACAAATAATTCATGTTATTAACGCTACACTTTCGAAATAAAAATATTTTACTTTTTGTAAATCCATAATTTATTTTGAAAGTTAAGATGCTAAAAATATTACTACTGATAAAAAAAAAAGTTGAAAGAAAAAGAGAGCACAAGATGGCACCAGTCCATGAAACACCTGTTAGAGCCAGCACAGCTTGTATCCAAGCACATTGGAGTAAAACAGAGCAACCATCATGCACGCTGCTGTACACCTTGATATGGTCAAGATTTTCCATTTGTCTTTGAATCAAATGCTAGAGCAGCTTCCTAAGATTTCTTCTATTCTTCTTTCTTCTTAGCTGCTTCTTCTCACTGTTTACGAATAATAGCTAATCGAGCTAAATCTGCTTGTGCTTCCTCTGTTTTCCCTGCCAAATGGAGTGCCTGGTACCTTCTTCGAGTCCCATTTTTTTCTAGTTCTTCTCTTTCCCTCCTAGAAAGATTAGTGCCGCCAGATTCTCCCATTTCTGTGACCAGCTCTATTTGGATTTTCAATATCGATTAAACGTGAAACACCTTTTGGCTTTTCCTCCTGATCATGATTCTCTATTTCTGACTCTGAAGATTGTGAGGAAGGCAATTCCCTGTTTTTTGCTCCGGCTTCAACTCCACCCTTTTCTTCTACCACTTCTTCTTAATCACTTTCAATTCCTTGTTGTCGCCTCCAATCCTTTTCTTTTTCTGCTTTCTGGGCTTTTTCTCTCAATTTATCTCTGTTAAGCCTCACTATGTGAGAGGTTCTAGCACTGCTATTGTACTCCCTCCAGCCAATTACTAGTTCATTCTGAAGTGAGACGATATCAAACTATCCAAATGACTTGATAGAAGACGCTATATAACTCTACTGTTTATTCCACAATACAAATACATACAATGACTTGGACAATGAGATCTTAATACTTGATTACATAACGGCATCACCCCAAGACTACAAGAACAAGACTCCTTTCTAGCTTCTTCCCCGGCAACAACGAACTCACACTAAAACGTCACAATCTTCATCAGTAAAATGCCTCCGTTGGCCCTTGTGACTTTTCTTACCAGGGTTACTACCCGCGCCCCAACAACTAAGACCCAAGAAACACAGAGCCGACATCTGAATTTTATTTACTTTGTTCTGGGAAAGAAGGTCACACGTCTAAAATTACACGATTGGTAACTTTTTTGATAAAAACCTCATAAAAAGCAGCGTCAGTTTGTTGTGTTGGACTAGATTAGGAGAGTCCGTGCTTTTTAGATGGACAACCATATGGGGCCTGCTCTCGAGTTTGAAAAATTTATTCGTGATTTATTCGTGTACCGAACGGAAAAGCTAAAAATACCTTGAATTCACAAGTTATATATATATATATATATATATATATATATATATATATATATATATATATATATATATATATATATATATATATATATATATATATATATATATAAAAGTTAGGGCCCAAAAACCCAAAAGCACTTCTGCAGGGGTTGGGTGGGGTTGGGTGGGGGGCTGTTTTTCTAGTCCCGTCACGGCAGTATCCCTTTTAAATTATAATTATGTTTTAATTGCCTTGGCGATGATTGGCCTGAGTTTGGTTATATTTTAAAATTCTGCACTAGCCTAATTCATTCATTTGTTTTAAATTAAAAGCTTTTTATTCTATCCCATTATGAGGGTCGCATAATTCCTGTAAAAAAATGGCCGTTTGGAGAAAAGATAATCATTAGAGGAACACCAACAGCGGGGAACTCTGTGTAAGTGTTGTAATTAATTTGTACGTGTAAATTAATGCGCAATTGAATATTTACAGAAGTTAACAGTTTATTTATGTTACTATCACTTTAAAAAATCTATTATTCTTTTTTATTTAAAATTTAAAAAAACTGTAGATGCACGATTACAACACTCCCTCTATACTCTGTATATAAGTAAGTGAAGAACAGACATGTTTTAATTATCTTAAAAAGAACAGGTGCAGTGAATGTTTCTACCCAATTCTTCGTTAATACTCAAAAGGGGAGGAATTAGTAGAATTACATAACCGTCGGGGGGGGGGGGGAGGGTGCTGGCCTTTTAAGGGGATCGAAAACTGACCGAACAAAATTTGTCCACCTTGATAGGGAAGTAGTTTAGTAAAAAAAAAAAACAGATCTACTGCGGCAGATTGTTCTACAGTGATTAGCCTAGACCAGGGGTCGGCAACCTTATGAAGCGGAAGAGCCAAAAGTTACAATTTTCAAAATTTCCCTGGTTTTAAAGAGCCACTAACATTTTTTTTTATTTAAAACATTTTTTTTATTAAGATTACTAGTATTTGTGCAAGGAGCTGGAGAGCCGCATCTTGATATCAAAAGAGCCGCATGCGGCTCGCGAGCCGCAGGTTGCCGACCCCTGGCCTAGACTGTTGCGTCCAAAAATAAAAATTACGTTAGCTGTTGTGTGAACGTTAGGCATAACTTCTAACCACTTCTACAACTTATTGCTCTTCTTTAAATATTCTAATAGGGGTTTCCACCAAGCTCATTAAAGTAGTTTTGTACTCAGCAAATTAAAAAGAATACCTTCTCTTAATTATTATTAAAATAAGGCAAATTAAAAAAAATGACTTAGCTGTAAAACGTAATTAATTTCAAACTAAATATTATAAGGCGAACTAGGCGGTCCCCTAGGGCGATATCCATAGAGGGGCGCAAAAATGTGTAATATCGATTAGTAAGAAGTACATAATAATTAATATTTTTTATTAAATTATATCAACTTTAAACAGGGTAATATACAAAGGCGTAGCGATCTATATCGGTTCCCAGGACGAACTATCAAATTTGCGCCCCATGTTTAAATTAGGGGAAAATGCGGCCCCAACCTCCCTCACTAAGAAAGTTCGGGGCGCTTTTTACCAGTCACTTTGCCTTTTTGTTTTGGTGTCAAAAAATTAATATAGAAAACATTTAAATAAGTCCGTTATGCCAAGTAGCAGGTAAAAATTTTCATTTCGACTGTGTGTAATTCAGTAATGACCCTTTATATTTTAATATCTACCTCGTTTGGCGCCCCCTTTGGGACGGCGTCTGTGCGATTTCGGTTTTTAAATAGGGCTAAGTCTTGTTTTCTCTAACTTTGAATTAGAAATCTCGTTAGCCAGGGAGAGATTTAGATTTTCAAAGTAAATTTATTGTTGGCACCACAAGACCCTAAACACACACACACACACACACATACACACACACACACACACACACACACACACACACACACATATATATATAGGCCTATATATATATAAATATATATATATATATATATATATATATATATATATATATATATATATATATATATATATATATATATATATATATATATATATAAAATATAAGGGGTCGAAAAAGATGTGCGGGAGGGGGGTCATAAGTTTTGCCAAGGGCGCTAAATAACCTGGCGCCGGGTCTGTATATATACTTATATAAATATAGGAAAATTTATACCGGGCACAGTGCTGAACCTTCATATCGTTATTGTTCAAATTCAAATTTATTCAAATTCAAATTCAAATTCAAATTCAAATTCAAATTCAAATTTATTCAAACAACGGTTACAATTGTAGGCACAAAGGCCTTTTTTCACATTGGCCGTTCAAACAAATAAAACAATTCAATAACACATAGCAGTAACAACATAGCATTAAAAATGTGGAATAAAGAAACAATGTTACATAGCTATCATACATAATGAGATAAAAAAAAGAAAATATAATAGATGAATGAGAAATGTTACAATGAGTCAGTTAGGTCATTAAATAGTTTTAGTTTTAGTTTAGATTTGAATATATTTTCAGATCTAGATAGCTTTATTTTATTAGGAAGATTGTTCCACAAATTACAACCAGAGTAGGCGAAGCTATGTTTTTGGAAAAAGGTTGAATAAGGGAATGGTAAATTAAGACGGCGATTTAATTTTATGTTAAAAGAAAATAGATTTGACAAGTAAGAGGGGGCTGTTTCGTGGAATATTTTATATAAGAAAATTGATTTAGTATATATTATCTTTTTATTTAATGGAAGTATTTTAGTTGTAAGAAAGGAATCCAGATTACTAGACAAGCCAGTAACCAGTTTTATAGCCCTTTTTTGTAAAGAAAGAAGAGGACGCTGCTTAGTTATAAAGCTGCCGCTCCACACTACAGAAGCATAATCCAACCTGGATTGAATAAAAGCTTCATAAAAAACCAGCCTGCTCCTATAGTTGAGAAAGTTTTTTATCCTTGCTAATTGAAAGGTTGTCTTTAATAAGGACATTCTTAGAAAATGAATATGGTCAGACCAAGTGAGGTTGTGATCTATAAACAATCCAAGGCATTTGTAACTTTCTACCTGTTCAATGTTTGAATTGTCTATAGTAATGTTTAATGCGGTGGATGGAAGACGAAGGCGTTTTTGATGAGTTGTAATAAACATTGACTTGGTTTTATCGGGGTGAAGTTTCATTTTGTTCAATTTTGTCCAAGTAGCAAGCTGATTGGCACACGTTTGAAGTTTGTAACTGAGTGACTCAGCACTGTCTGCAAAGACATGTAAAGAAGTATCATCAGCGAACATCTCGCACTGACCAGCGTCAATGTGTAATGGAAAATCATTAATGTATAAAGAAAAAAGTAAAGGACCTAAGATTGAGCCCTGTGGAACCCCTATATTAACATATTTCTGTGAAGAGATGTTATTAAGGTGAAACACGCGTTGAGATCGGTTAGATAAAAAGGAGTGAAGTAACCTAACTGTAAAGTCGTGGAATTTGTATGGAATTAGTTTTTTAAGAAGAATGCTGTGATCAATTGAATCAAAGGCTTTTCTGAAATCGACAAACAGCGAGCCACAGAGTAGGTTATTGTTAATATTTTTAAGCCAGTTTTCATTCATCTTAATCAAAGCAGTGTGACAAGAATGAAACTTTCTAAACCCAGACTGATTACTATGGAAAAGTTTATGCTTTTCTAGGTAGTTTGACATGAATTTGTTTATATGTATTTCTAGTGGCTTGGAGAGGGATGAAAGTATAGAAATTGGCCTGTAGTTATTAGCATCTTGGATGTTACCTTTTTTGTGTAGTGGTATAACTTTAGCATGCTTAAAATGTGTCGGGTAATAATGCTTGGCAATACAGAGGTTATAGACATAGGTTAAAACTTCGGAAATTATTGGAGCTGAAATCTTCAATACATTATTAGAAATATCATC